CCTATTGCAATAAAACGGCAATTTCATACTTTAACCCCTAATATTTTTATAAACTTAAATATGGAACGGCTGTAGCGACCTTGCGAAATCGGCTTATCGTCACCTGCCCTAGTGAACTCGCGCTCGCGGCGCATCGCCGACGAATTACAAGCGTGAAAATTCACGCCCACCGCATACAGCGATGGTATAATGTACAGCCACGTACAAACGTAGGAAAATTCGGTGCAGGACACACCGAGCGAAAGCTTGTTTAAGTCACCGATGAATTTCTATGACGGAGTAGAATACGCGAGTTGTGCCCGCTCGTTAGAAAAATACATGGTGTACAAAAATTATTTATTTTTCTTTAAATTAAGAACTCAGCTCACGTCGGTTACTCGATGTGGCGCCAACCATATTTTTACGCATTAGATATGAAGGTCATAATTTTTTTAGTATAATAGCACACGGGACCTTGTATCACTAATATTACCCATAACCTACCGCCTACTCCAGGTGCAGGCGCTGCCGCCCGCACCGTCACGGTGCGTTAGCGGGTGCCGCGGGCAACCGTGGAAACCACCTACATGACCTCCCACACCTGGACTGAACGGATCGTGTTACTATTGTAGTGTTTTTATGTTACCTACAATAACAGGAACCAATTCAGTATACGGCCGTTACAATTTGACATTTCGTCAAATTCTTTCGTATTGCACAAACATCTATTACTTCTCAAGAACCTCTATGATGGTGGCTATTTGTGTATTCATATAACATATTATTTTACCGCATTAATACTACTTTCTTATTATTATATTTTCATCAACACCACAATACAATGAGTACTTCCTTTGATTCCCCAAATATAAATTGAAATGTGCTCAAATGGGGAATGAGTATTTTGATATCAGATTAAGAGAAAACGGGATCTGGTATCGCACGATTCAGAGTCAGCCTCATGGTAGGAAATAATTGTTATCGCACTAAGGATGAGAACCGACCACGTCCCATTAAACAGCTTTGCTTTCTTGGTGAAAAAAAAACATGTCTCCTAATTGCGAGTTATGTGGATAATGGAAGATACATATCACTAGTTACGAGAATGTGTCCGGCTCGAGCAACGGAGGGCGGCGTTAATGAGAGACCTGCAGATTAACTGAACATCCGCAGGTGCTATAAATTGTTAACCAACTTTAAAAAAAAGGAGGAGTTTCTCAATTCGACTGTATTTTTGTAGGTATGTAACGCAACTGCCTCAGTGGCTAAACAGTTACTAAGTAATAGTACTAAGTAATCCGCATACGAAACGGGCAAAAAGATTTACTATTTGATGAATCGGCTCTCCAGCATAGCAGTCCAGACTTATAAGCAATAGTTTAGGATACGATGGAACTAACACATTTTCATTGATATACAATGTGTTTATGTGAAAGAAAATCTAAGCAAACTTTAATATAGTCATAACTAGATATCCTAGAAACACAAGGAATAAAATACAAAGACGGCCCAAATAATGCCCTAACTTGGAATTTTACAGTAGAACGAAGTTCGTATTAGCACCCAAATTATTTAATAAATTACCGAATGCTGTTAAAGAATTAAATTGTAGACAATATAAAATGAAATTACGTAATTTGTTAGTTACTCAATGCTACTACAATAATGATGATTTTTTCTACTTGATAACATAAAACGTAAAATTTAACTATTGTATGTTATATTTTTTTCTTCCTATTTTCCGGTTAAATTCCAATTGTTGTTATTTGTTTATGCTATTGTATTAATTTACCTTTAATGCATGCTACATCAAAAATGAAAAAAGAATGGTGTAAAACATTCGCATGCCAATTTTATGGCGAAATGTACGATCTAATGTAATATACTAATACCTGCAATGTTAGCTACATTTTTCATTTTTCTTGTATTCAAATTTAGTATTCGTACTAAACATTGAGCCTATATCAAATCAACTAAGGCTTTATACTTAGACATTTTAATTCTTCGTACCGGACACGGGTTCGAATGACGTATGTTAAAGGTGCATATTCATCACACGTGCTGATCTTCCGCAGTGTGCACAGTGCGAACGATGCTCCTAAGATTACGGTTAAGTAGGCTCTAATAGCATGCATCACTAGCATTCCCTTCGCCACTAGTAATAAAAAAAACATTTACAATATTCAAGAGATGTTTACAACATTACAATGTTACGCATTTGATCATTTTTTTTTTAATTTCCCTTTTTTGGCACCACGTTAAAATCGTAAGCAATTCTCTGAACCGGGTAATTTCAGAGAAAAATTTATTGAAAAAAATCAAATTTCGTAATTTGACGACTTCAGGGGCACAAAACGGTTTATAATGTAGGCTCTGGATGAGATCACGGGTTCGAACTTTTCTAAATTGCTTCTCATCTTGGTATGCTGAAAAGTAAACCAAGCTAGCGAGAGCCTAGAAATTTTTCTCTTTTGCTAGTGTCGTCATTAGGTACTCGTGTCACGTAATTTCAAGAGAAGGTAGTAACAGTAGAGCTCTTTGTGAAAGAGTTCGTGCAGGGAAGTACCTTACCTATTTCTGGCGCCAAGCAGTAATTGAAGAGTAAGGGTGCTGGTGAAATTACAGGCCCTTGGGACTTGTCAACTTACGTCTCAAGGTGAGGGGTGCAGTTCGAGTGCCCCTAGATCTTTGCGACTTAAAGCTCCGAGTAGCACTGCAACTGTTATGGACAAACGTGTCGCTTTCCACCAGGTACGTGTACAAGTCGTGACTTGTTCGTCCCGTCAGTTGGTATAATAAAAAAAAAGTTGATAGCTTGCAGAAGACATTTTGTCTTTAAGCTTGAGGAAGGGAAAAATACTGACCCGACGAAATGCGCCGGCGCACCATCATCCAAAGTGTGCGGACCGCGCTGCCAGTGGCGCGCACGCGGCGTATGCGACGCGTGCGTGTGGCCGCGCAGATCGGCAAGCGACTCGCTCACCGCCAGCGACAGCAGCGTCGCGCCTAACAACACCCACGCTGTCATCTTGGCACCATCACCCTGAAAAAATCCAACCATCAATCAAGAATCCTACAACGTCTTTAATTATAACCTCTTGAGATATCTGGTAGGAACGATAGACAAGTTTTCAGGTAGGACAAGTTACAAAAAGTTGTAATTTGTTATTAATATCTAAGTAACTTTAATTTCGTCCCTATTGTACAAGTTCTATACTTATATCAAACTCTATAAGTTTCAATGCAAGCGCATGGGTTGTGCCGTTACAACTACCTTTATGACGGTGTAAAAATATTTACGAAAAATTTATCTCCAGCAGTAATTATTCCACGCAAAGACGAAACTCGGTTATCAAATAAGTGCATTTAATGAGTTTTGCAAATATATTTTGGCACTAACGAGGTCAAACTTAAAATAGACAACCCAATTCCGAATAAGAGATAACAGATTTATAATCCAGAAGGCTATCGTGGTTATTTACTAAGCCATTATCACTAGTTTCTCGCCAGGGTATATTTTTTTTATTTCATAGCTGTTTTCTCCATGGGCACGGGTTGATGGGCGAACCATAAGAAATCCAGGTACGAGTAGTCATCAACAACGAAAAAGGCAGATAGGTCCTTAAAGCTGTCCACTGCAGCTGTTCAGTCAACCAGTAAACCATACAGCGTTAAGCAGCTCTGAGATATAACAAGAGAAAGCTTAAATAACACCTGAAACTAACGGCGAAATTTATTCCAAAACAATTAAGACAGAGTATTTTGTAAGGAAAAATCTGGGAATGTAAACTAGACAAATTAAAATATCCAAAAAAATGTTTATTTGTTTTTTATAAATCAAAGTTACAACTAGGAAATGAAACTATTTTTATGGATTTAAATCGCGTATATTTGTCAACCGTGACCATGGGACCTGTAAAGGGCCCGAAACGTCGGTTTGTTTGAAAAAACAAATATACGCGATTTAAATCCGGAAAAATAGTTTCATTTCGTATGTGTAACAATCGCGAAAATCTAAGACTCGACAAAATTACAACTTCCAACCAGTTACAAATCTTAAACATATAAAGCCCACGCGAGCCGCTTTAGCCGGTCCGGCGCAACGCGCATCATCTAGTTGTGATCTAGTTATTATATACTTATATTAATGCAATAGTTTTACTACACATAAATCTGGTAAAAATACAAAATGTGTTCAAAATTGGAATATACTATAGTCTTAATACACAGGCATGTTTAATTCAAATTTAAAATCAAATTAAAAAATTCAAAAAATTGCATACTAATAAAATTGCAGTCCTTCACAACCAATAGTTACCTCACAATTTAATGTACAAATCGACTTTTTTTTTTTAATTGCTAGAAAGGCAAAGCTCTATTAACAACTTACCACTAAAAATCGACAAATAATTATGATAGCCCTAAGATAATACGTGGTTAATTTTATTTCAAACTGCCTCGAACGGTTACCATGCTGGACTGCCACGCAGAGGTCCCGAGTTCGATTCCCGTGCCGGGAGAAATCTTTGTATGGCCTACATTTATTTATCTCGTGAGTTTGGGTGTCCATGACATCCGCGATACAGGGTTTCCCTAATGCGGAGTATGAGTGTGTGCGCGCGCGTTATTTCGATTGGTAAGAATTGGAAGTACAAGCTACTACTAAGTGTCTCATAAAAATTACAAAAGTTATTTTGCAAATTATTAGGCTATCAAAGTAAATGCCTATTACATTGCTTATTAATATTACAGACATAAAGGAGTAAACGATAAAGTGCGAAAAATACACTGAAGAAGAAGTGACATTAAGCTTTGAAAAAAGATAGTTGAAACCATTAATGAAACTATAGCACAAAAAACGGATCTTAGCTCACGTTTTTTCACAAAATTCACTTACCATGAGGAATTCCAATCACATTTTCTAATAAAAATATACAAAAGTCGTAACTACACATAAAACCACAACAACCACTCGACTGTTGCAACAATTTGACATGTCCATTAGCAGCACAAAGAGTTGACACTGATCGACATTTGAATGAATCTAAACTCAGATGTGTTATCAAACAATGAAGTAAAGAGACAATGAGGGTTAGAGTGGAAGCTCAGAGGAGATACTGGAGCTACTGGTACGAGATGCGGCGAGAGCGCGGTGTGAAGTGCGGGAAACGCGGCAGTAATCTGTGCCGAAATGATAACGACGGCCGACGACCCGCACGCAATAGTGCACGCACGATACTATAATTAGGTAAAAAGTCGTCAATGTTTCGAGATTTTGTGACGTCATAGGATGTAGGTAAGTTAGCAAATATATGGAAAGACTGAGAGAAATGACGTTAACTCTTTAAATATAATACTTAAATGAAACGAGATATCACCAAAGAAAAGATAAACAAATTTAAGTGAAATGGATAAATAAATTGAGAATTGAAGTTTCAACAGTAACACGTAGATCACTTATTTCATAAATACTGCATGGAACACATGACGTCACTATTATATCACTTAATAATGCAAAGGACTTGTATATGATTTGCCCAGGGACACGTAAAAAGACGACTACACAGACAATGTTGCATTGGCGACAAACTGTCTGAAAACAAAACACGGCTGTAGATGTGTTGCAGATGCAAAGATCACGGAAAACTCGAGATACCATAATATCACGTGTAGCAAAGTACCAAGCAAGCACCCAATCGGTATCAGGGAATAGCGAATGATTCAGAGCCGCCCACATTACTATAACCGCGGCCGAAGTGGGCTACCGGCCTATCTGGTACAATCGCTGAGATTCCTGCTGCTCGATGTCCAATAGAGAATCACTCAGTAAGTGGTCGAGTCTTGCTTAGATTTTGTTTGATATCGTTATTAATCGCAATCAACTTAAAAATTCGCACAAATTTCTTTACTCATTCAAGAAAAAGTTATGCAATTTCTGGATTCTGCTGTGTGTATACACAGAGAATACTTAACACAGTAAGTTTAGAGTTTCAAGTAGATTCTAAAGTCACTGGGCTAAATACTATTACATATTACGTAATCATTCAACTATGACGTTTAATCAAACCCTTTATTATATATAGAAACTGATACCTTGCCTTATAGGTAAATTGCTGACAAATCAAATTCGGTGACTCGAATCAAGAGATGCATTACTTGAATAATTATTAATACAAAGATCGAACACTCAGAAAAAATTCCTTCGATCCGGCCGGATTCGAACCGACGTCTTCTAGTTTACCGTGCCAGACGCTACACCAACTAAGCCACGGAGCCACGGTTGAAAAACCAAATACAAAGAGACGACGCAAGCACATAGAAAAATTCGTGAGGTCCACTGGTTCGAATCAGGCCGGATCTAAGGAATTTTTTCTCAGTGTTCGATCTTTGTATTAATAATTATAACGTATGGAGTAATTTCACAAAAAATAATTGAATATCAATTCAATAACAATTTAAAATTACTTGAATACTTGACGCGCTGAACAAAAATTTATCCATTTGACAGTCGGAACATTTTCCAAAATCAACGAAATGATGACGGAAATAAAACTAATGAAAACGCATTTAAGCTCATGCCTATAACAAGTTGTATAATTATCTGAACGAACGATGGTCCATTTCACGCTCTATCAATAACAAACGCATCTAAAATACAGTTACCATCCTTTCACATTAAACACCTATTTATCAGGCCATGGTTCAAATCGTCTGCACCTTAAAAAATCAACAAACGTACCACAAGTCCTTTAGGAATGAAATGAATGCGTTTTAATCATCTTTCAGTAAACACTTCTCTGGATCAAATCAGGAATGTAAATAGAGTTGGAAAACGGCTTTAACATTTGTAAGTCTTTTTGTAGACTACTAGCTGGCCGTTATATCGGTTGATAATTTAGGAATGTCTGTTATGATATCATCAAACAAGGCGTAGAGAAATAAATTTTCCGTCCTAGTGAGTAAATGACTTAATCGGAATAAAACTGTATAATTTTTCTGACAAAAAGGTGTGGAGAGGTACTGTTTTTCAGCAAACAGTTTTGCGTCATCTAAATTGCGCTGTAGTCTGATATGGTAGATTTTTTATATAAAGCCAAACTCAGCTATTTAATGTTTGTACTAAAAGATTTTCCTGAATATGGAAGTAATCAGATGCCTGGTTAAGAAAGTAGAAGGCTTTATTAAAAAAAGCGCCCCGCAGAATGACTTCTAATACTTTGTGGTTTCCAACTAGTAAAATGAATAGGCGTTATTTTCAGTATGCACCTACTTTGATTATTGAAATTGTGATTGCACCTAAAAGTAATTACCTAATCCAAACTTAGATTAATAGCAAACGTAATGATTATTGTGACGCAATCGAACAAAGGGGAATCGCAATGGTGCAGCCGGTGCACAAACGCAGCCATAAACCCACTTACACAAGCTTAATGAAACTAAATTACTAATTCAGTTATTGCGCATTGGATTGTTTTTAGAGTGTATTATAGTATTCGAATAAATAATTTATTTAAGGAAAAAATACGATAACTTCGTCTATACCATAGCTTTTTTTACACAGTTACATGCCTAAAGGAAATGGCGAATTCACCCAAGAACTGGCATGAAAGACGGAGGAAGGACAAAAGATGAGCTTCTAAACAGTTTCAAAAGAATGTAAAAAAAAAGATATAAATCCCAACAAAGAATAATAATCTGGATGAGCAATACTTATATATAGGAGGTGCAGTAAGTATAATCGAGATTATAGCCATCGTTTTCTATATTACTGCCGCATTCCTTTGCTATCGTACTACGCAATGCAGCGACAGGAAGATAAATCAAAAAGTTTGAAACCCACATCGCTTACGATCGAAAGACGCTTTATTCTTACATACATATTGGAGTATATATAAAACCCTAAAAATAGTTTAAAACATCTAATTTCGTAAACGCAACGACAAACAACGTTAACATTAAACGAATGTCATTTGTAAATCCTTTATTACCGTGGCATTAAATTTATTCGACATTTTTAATGTATTTTAATAAAACGAAACAATA